ACAATGGTGTGTGAATTTTGTTATACTTTTTCTATTTTACCTTTTCAAATTTTGAACCCTTGTTTTCTTTGAATTTTACCTTTTGGATTGGTCCAAAATATGTACTTGCCTTGCACAGTAAGTTTGTGATATTAATGTATCTTTCTTCTTTGATATATATTTATGGTTTCGGATTAAAATCAGATTGTAATCTAAATTAAAGTCAAATAATTAGGGTTCGTTTGATTGCAAATGTGAAATTTGGGTAGAAAGAAAATGAATTACAGAGAATTGAATTGCCTAGAATTTGTTTTATTGAGAATTGTAATTAATTGTGTTTGCTTGGTATAATTTTTCACCTGAAAAATGTAGAAAGTTTGGTGTCCGTTTGACTTCGTTTTTCATGGAAATTGTTCATTAAAGTGATAATTTTTTTACAATTGAGTTTAGAATTTGTTCCAATTACAAAATTTTTTTTTTTAAAAAATTTAAAAAAAATTACCATACCAAATATAATTCGTTTGACTTTGTTTTGCATGAAAATTGTCAATAAAAGTGATAAATTTTTGTACCATTGTGTCTAGAAATTTTTCTAATTGAAAAAAAAAAAAAGAATCTAGAAATCCAATTGTCACCAAAATTGGTGGAAATTGGTTTTCCACAAAACCAAGGAATGTGGCACGTGTGAGACAAAAGCAAGAAAAGGAATTCCATGGAAAAAAAAAATGCATCAAACAAGCTAAAAGTTGGAAATGGAATTTGAATTCCATTTTCCATGGAAAAGATTGGCCAATCAAACATGTCCCAAGTGTTTTATCCTTTCAGTTTCCATTGCTGATTTAATGGAATTTTTCTTTGTTTAAATTGCATAGCAATTGTTCTCTTACGACAGGCATGCTGACTCCTTTTTGTATTTGTATAACTGCTATTTTGCAATATTAGCATCGATAGATTGGAATTGAAGATTAGTCATGAAGAAATAGATTGGGGATTGAATTTGAAATGATTGATTTGGGAAGAAATCAACTACACTGTTATTCCTATGCTTGCTTTGAACTTGTGCACTTTTTTTGTTTCCTCGTTTTTGTGTAATATATGATTTACTTTAATTTACTCTCGCAGATTGTGTGAAATTTGTGGTGAGACTGCAACAAATATCACAGGTGTTAGTGACAACAGATTTATGGAAGAGTGGAACGAGAGGGGATCTATGGATGCTTCTACTAACTTTTCAGATGGCAGCAGAAGGTGTTTGAGTGGACAGCCGTTATGCAACTTCTTAATGGCATGTCTCGTGATAGCTTTCATACTTCCTTGGTTTTTCCGTGTAAATATGTTTTAATGAAGTATACACGATTCACACGAATGAACATCATTTATCTTGCCTATATTGACCTGAAATATCTGCACTTGTACCGTTGCTTCCGTTCTTGAATTCAAAGATATTCCAATTTCGAATCTGAGAGTTTCCTTGGTTGGAAATAAGCCGGTTTTAACAGTGTTGAGTTGCTAGGCCTTCATTTCCATTCTTTCTTCGTCGTTTTGGTTATTGTTTTTTCATGGTTTTCTGTGTAACATTAGGCTGGATAGTTAATTAAGACAATATTTTTCTTTGTGGACTTGGACCTGTCTTTTGTCACAATCCTTTTTCACTGGGCATTTTCAGTAATTGGGGAATGTATTTTGTTTCTTCGTTCTGCTGATTGACATAAGCGAGTGTAATATATATTTATATTATAAGTTTTTTGTTATGAATGGCATGTATTGATGGTTGAGCTTCAGAGTCCATTGTATGCTTGGCAATGAAATTTTGCTTGACGCGAGGTATCTCCAAAGAATAATGCTACTTGTACGTAATGGACTGTGGATCTTTGCATTACAAACTATCATTTCATGATCTCTTTAGCAAATCCACCAGTTCACTCTTTTTAAGTTTTGAGTAACCTCTGATTCCTTTAGATTTTGCAACTTCTTTTAATTCAGCAAGTTTCATTTCCTCGAACTTCTTGGATATTATCTCGGTGTTGACATCCACGGTGGGCAATACTTCACTCTTCAGATCAACTTCATTTCTTGGGCTTGACAGTGATGGTACTGGGGACCTTTTCGTGAAATTTGACGGTGGCCTGCTCGACTTTACGTCCTTCTCTGATGAATGTTCTGCTTTCTGTTCTTTCATTAGCAAACCTTTCCCTGAAGCCACCAGTTTATCCCCTTGCTTCCTTCCAGTTTTCCCTGTCCGAAACAGGAAATTTCAGAGAAATAATGAATATCCAATAACCTACACGAAACTCCTTTGGCATAGTGTTAGCGCAATAGAAAACATGTAAAAAACAAAGTTATTATGAAGATCAAAGAGGTTCAAAACTCTCTCTTTACTCGTATAAGAATTTAGCGAGGGTGAGTGTTTGGTAAGCGCATGTTTGGTACGTTAGGTAGTATAGGTTTAGACAAGATTATGACAGTTTTGGGTGCCTGAGCATCTCTAGAGCTTTTAGCCGTGGGTATGTGATAATTGCTATTTGTTGTGTTATGTCCAATTCGGTGTACCAAACATGCCATAGCATTCTATAGATTAAAGTGAACGTTTGATGTCGTGCTAGAAAGTTAGTTATGTTGCAATCTTGTAAAAAAAAATCTTGTTTTTGCATTTTGTACTGTCCATTAATGTTCTTAGAAACCAACTTACAGAATTGATGTATTCGAAAGTTGCACGGGTCTCTCTCAAATAAGTAGTCTCAACGCAATGAAAGAACGACATTTCTACTTCACCTTTTCTTGTTGATTGACGAAGGACCTCCAGAAGTGCTTCACCTGAGGACGCATCTTCGGCTGGCTTTGAATTTCTATTCCTGGATTTTATGGTCTCTCCTTTGGAGATGGAGGACTGAATCCGCTTAAAGAGAGCTAGGATCTCTTCCTTGGATGTTTTCTTCTCGGCCTCCATAGATTCAGGATTCTTTTTCCACTCTCCTTTTGGTGCCCTTCCAGGGACAGGGTTCCCATCAGCCCTTGTGCTTGAAACAGCTAAATTAAGAAGCTCCCTTCGGGAGATGAACACTGAATCCCTATCTGCTACTTCTGCCAAATTGAACAAGCTGCATCACAAAATTGTACCTCAGTTTGAAGTCACTAATGTTGCATCCCCAAGTACTAACGAAACATGATACATTTTTCTCATCCCGACACCTTAAACTTCCTATAACATGATACCAGGGAACGTAAATGTCCAGTAATCAAGTCTCATTGTCGCACGTTGCACATAGGGAACATATATACATTCTTTTTTTAGCAACTAAGTTTTCATATAACAAAAATAGATATAGAAAAACTGAACAAAAGATAAACAAAGAATATGGCAATGAAACATCAATTAGATACCTAAATGACAATCATGAATTTGATCAATATGAGCACTGACATGAAAAGAAAAAGTTCATCCCAGAAGTAAATGACCATTGAAAGGTGAAATTTTCAAGCAGAGAGTATAAGTTTGTACCATTGAAAGAGAGAATTTGGTTTCTGAACTTGAGTCCGCTGAAGGCAGAGAAATGAAAATAGCAGACAGCTCCTCCACCCATATTTTCTTGATCAAAGTCTCAAGTAAACATCAAAGGGGATGAGATAAGATGATACAAAATATACACCCACTTCAGTATTCTGTTCTCGTCAGCGTACATCCTATCCACAATTCATTTTTTCTCTAGGTCCAGGAAAGTGCGTGCAGATACGCGCCAATAATTCATTCTTGCGATGACAGTGGGTTGTTTTGACCGCTATGACAAAATGTTGTCCAAAAGCAAAAGAGTGCATAGATAAATGACATGAAAGACACAGAGAGAGAAAAAAAAATATGAAAAGAAAAGAAATTCAATTATTATAATTTTCTCTCAATTTCATCTCATCTATTGTACTCTTTTCTATCTTTTTCATGTCATTCATCTGTACACAATAATGTACATTACTCAAAACAAAAATAGTCCATCTTATTCAAGAATCTTTCTTTTATTTAGTGGGCGTTTGGTGGGAATTAAAAATTAGATTTTTAACAGATTGTAATAGAAGTTTTTGAAATGTGTGGTTGAAAAGTTGTAGAATCTATGAAAGATGTTAACATTGATTGTTTGACTTTAATTTAGATTAAAATTTGATTTTAATCCGAAACAAATAGGGTCTAAGCCGTTACCAATTTAATGTTCTCTCTCATATTCTGCATCTTCTAAACTCGTTCCTCCTGCCTTCATATACTTTAGAACTTAGCACATGTTTCCACCCCATTTTTTTAGAACAGATTTTGTAAGGTGACTTCTTGAAAATATAAAATTAAAATTTACGTGCAAGATTCTTTGATTGAGAGATGATGCGATTGAAAGTGAATTTCGGAAGTCCATATTTTTTTTCTTTTTCTTCGATCTGTCGGCGGGCTTCAATTGTTAGACTAAAACAAATTTAATGTCGAGGAACAGTTACATTACACGGGAGAAACGATATGGAATCGGACCTCGTGCGCTTGACTAAGACAGCGACAACAAATTAATTCTTGTCTTAATAAATTTAACGCAAGTCACAAATTATCTCTCATGGAGTGCAATATAATATAAAATCATAAGATGCAACCACATCATGCAATTATCCTTCCAGCTTGTGCCAGCCTTGCGAAATCCTTGGTTAGTTATAAACTCAATTAATACAAACTCAATTATTCAATTTTTTGATAAAATGAAATGGTTAAACAATAAAATACGAGTCTATTTATTTGCTGGACTATTTGGCCTTTTTGGGTTAGCTCACCTGTACGGAATCTTGAAAAATCCTACTACTAGAGAGACCTCCTAAAGATAAGAGACATACAGCTTATGTAGTGAACGTTTGGTACTAACCAATCTCGCGTACAAAAAAGTCGGTATCGTCTAGCTTCTTCATTTTTCCCCTTTCAAATGGATCATAACATATGATCTAAGAAACCTGGTGTTGTATATCATCATTAGTCATAAGTCTCTATGTGTGAAAATTCATTACTGCTCACCAGCCTGGCATTGGTCCACTTCCCAAATGTCCCTGGCAGCGGAAATTAATTCCCTTATCATAAAAGAAAGAAAACATAGAAAGGCAATGTACATTCCTTGGTAGTCACACAATGCATAACCATCATGATGCCACTTGCTGCCTTTCCATTTTTTCATTTTCGATCATTCAACCCATATGGATGATGGAAAGAACTCATTTTCCTTCCAACAAAAGCATACATGAGAGAACACACACACTGGGATTCTCGGTTCTTTAGCTACAAGCACATGAAAGATACTCCAGACATGAAACAATAGCCAAAAAGACATTCTCAGGAGGAAAAGAAAAGGTTTTGGCTCAGTAAAACCTTGCATCTTAGGAAAAATTACTACTTTGGACTCCCACATCGACAGTCTCTCCTATGTACTCAGAACCACACTTCGATCCCATGAAATGTAGTTCAATCATACTTCAATGTTGAGATCATATTCTAGTCTTTCTATTCCTCTATATTGAGTTTCACCTTCAACTAGATTGGAAGGAAAATAAGAAACAATTTGAATAGAACTGAAAAGAAATTTTTGATCAAGGATTATCACAGTTAAATCCAATGGTAGCATATAGATTTGGAGGGCAGATCATAAATCTAGTTCCGGTGGACTTCGTCATTAACTATCTGTTATTTTTCTACTGAAACTGCTCACGAATGTTCTAAACCAAACTGAATATCTATCTCTTGATCACTTATTTAGCATACAATGATCATTCGCCATTCGAATTCATTGAAGCCAAATCTGCATCCATTCCATCATTGTACAAATGGGTACCATGTTAATGGATGAATGGAGATGCAAAGGAAAGAAGAACCAAGCCTGCCTGCCTCTGGTTAACTCGGTAATCATGTTTTATTTGGCCGGTCATGTATCCAACAAATTCCCATTTTACCCATTTAAGGGACGAACCTCTTAATAGACTTGCTAGAAGAGCTGCAGATCGATGTCATTAATGCAAGAAACCTAATGTCAAAGAAGTTAACTAATGCACTACCTGAAAAGTTAACCATAAACCTAGATAAAGATGAATTTCACATCTACTTATGATGGTTTAGAGCAGCAGGATGCTATCATGCAAACTAACCATTTTGCATCAATGTGATCACACACGAATATTAGCATTTATGCATTTGAGCAAACTTAGATAATATGTAGCCCACGTTTGTTATCCATTTTTTCATAACTCTTTAAATAAAAAAAAAAAAAACTCATTTTCAACCACATATTCCCACGTTAAATATTTTGCTGGTAAACCAAAAACCTTTTTCCTACATTTTAATCACACATTTCCCAAAAAAAAAAAAAAAAAAAATCACTGTTTCAAAACTCATTTTCCCGCAAAATACTCTTTTAATGGCTACCAAACAGAGGCTAAATGCAAACTACTTGGTCAAATGCTAATTAAGGCTTCCTAACAAGTCCACCAACCATTCAGTTAGGAGTCATGCTCATTTCAGTGAACATTTGTCATATAGACCTCAATCACAATGTGAACATACTTATAGCACCATATACACCAATGGATTCTAAAGCTACTAATGCCTTCAAATAGAAATAATTAAATAGCAAAAAGATACAAATAAAAGGCTGAAGGTGTAAGAGAAGCAAATCCTTACATCTCGAGAAAAATACAGATTACAAAGGAATAAGGAAAGAGTAAGCTTAGAAACGTGAAAATATTGAGATACCACTTCCCCTCTCTTAGTCTACACATCCGAGTTCTCCTAAATTCTTTATGTTTTCTTTTTAAAATTAATAATATGATATATAAAATAATCTAATCTCAAATCAGAACGCCGAGAAATTTCCTAATCTAAATGAAGCCAAGAAATCAATGTGGGTTTCTAAATTATTTACAACATTTGGACAAAAGAACCAAGAAAACAATGAGAAAGACAATTGAAGAAAGTCCAATTGCAACACCAAGAACAATCTTATTTGGCCCATTGGAATGGTGTTTTTCTTCTACATTACTGTAATCTTCATCATTAGAACTGTCGCTAGTATCATCATCAGATGAGTCCTTAGCAGGTGGTGGAGACATAGGCAACCCATGTTTGTCACAAGGAGAAATCCCAAGCTTTACCTTTGAGCTCAATGTTGAATGGTTATAACAAAGATTGGAATTGCCACCCACCTTTAACACTTCCAATCTCTTTAGAAATGTTGCATTGAAGGGCAGAACTCCATGGAAACTGTTCTTCTCAAGATTCAAGTACTTCAATTTCTTCATGTCTTGTATGAATTTTGGGATTGTCCCGTTGAGCTTATTAGACCCCAGATCGAGGTGCATTAGACCCGGCACTGCTGCTAAGGATTCTGGGATCGATCCCGACAATGAGTTTGAAGCCAGTGATAGATTCTGCAGAGCATTCAAGTCCCCAAAGGTAGTGGGAATTGTTCCGTTTAGGGAATTTGATGACAGATTCAAGCGTACAAGATTTTCAAGGCGGGTTAAGGAAAGGGGTATCTTTCCTTTGAGATTGTTTCCCGATAAATCTACAGTAGTGAGATTGGAATGCCAATGCTTTGGGAGATAGCCAGTGAGATTCGTGTGTGAAAGAGTGACAGAATGCAAGAATTTCATGCTGTTGAGGATAATGGAAGGGCCACTAGCAGTTATACTCACTTGGGAAACAGTTAAATCAGATACATTTTGTAGCCTGCTAAGCCAAACCCCGGTGAGTTTCTTGAGGCTGTTGATACAAGTAAAGGAATGGAGATTTGAGGTAAGTTCAGAGGGGAATCGAATTGGGGAAATGGGGCAGTTGATGAACTGGAGAGTGTTGAGAGTGGAGAGGGATTCGAGGGCAGTGAGAGATAAAGCTACATCATCTGAACAGTTGGAGAGTGTGAGAGAGAGGAGGTGGCGGAAGGGCTTGGAGGAGTCACAGGCGGCGGCGGTGGAGGTGTGGGGCGGGGCGGAGCAGGGGTCTTTAGAGGTTGGGATATTTAGGGACTGGAGGGCTCTGAGTTGTTTTGGGTCAAGGGTAGATGTGGAAGTCGAAATAGGGGTGGTGCCTTTTTTGGGAGTTGGGGCGGAAGAAGGGGTGGGGGCAGTGGGGGGATGGGCGGGGGAGATGGCGGTGACATTGGTGGTGGGAGGATGAGAAAGGGAGGAGATGACGGCGGCGGAGGAGAGCAGGAGGAGGAGGAGGAGTGGTGGTGGATGTCGAGCCATTGTTGTAACCTACGTTTCTGAAAATTGGTGTCGGAATTCGAGAAGTGGCTTCAACTTCGTAGTTTGTACACTCAGAACTGAGAATATCTACTTTATTTTAAGTGGGCTAACTGACAGTTGGTGAGGGATATAAAAACAGAAAAAGGTCAAATATAATGACTAGGGAGACTTATTTATTGGGTAAAAAAAATTCTTAACGGTCGATTTTGATAATTTTCTTACCTGAACGATGAATTGACGATATGACACTCCATTTGATGTTACTTTGATACCTAGCTTCCGTTTGGTGGTAATTAAAATTAAAAATTAATTTTCATCACATAGTCACCTAATTTTTCAA